TGCCATAATTCGTACTCAAATAGGTCGAATTATTGCTCATAATACAAACGTATGCAAAAACGAGAAAAATAAAGGAAAACACGTTTTTCTTTTTATCAAACACTTGAAAATCGAGAATATGGCATATTGAACACCTGGTGAATGCTCAACTGAATTTTAATAAATTAACTTGCATTTCTCAGGCCTATATGCCAGCATACGAACCTGGTGTATGCTAAAGTCTACATTTAATTTATACATTGCATTTCTCAGGTCTGTATGCCTGCATACGAACCTGGTGTATGCAGAACGGCCAATATTGAATCAAATGTTGTATTTCGCAGGTCTGTATGCTAGCATACGCACCTGGGTGTTTCCAGAATCTTCAATGTAATGCATATGAATCAGTAGAGCATACAAACATGGTGTTGCCAAAATCCTTTACTTCAGTAGTTGTGTTTTAACACCGATTTCGATGATTTATTTGTTTTTAAACTACAAGTCTACGACTGACCTCTATATTTTCTCCCGATAGGAAAACAGAAAAGCGTTAAATTGCAAGGCAAACCGGTACTACGGCGTTTACTGTTGTAAATCTAAAAATGAAAACCGATTCTCAAGTTCCACGACTATAATCACTTTATTGACATGCAATTAAGTTATCCGTTTTGTTTTTTGCAAATTAAAATTACGGAAAAATGAGGCGATCATAATTTGTACAAGGTTCCAAGTTGTTGACAAACTTTTAAATGACGTCAGGGACCTTGTGACGTAAGGCGGAGGGAATTACAGACGGAGCACAATGAGGGCCTTGACTTACGCAAGTTACATTTACCAGTACACTTAATTAAAATAATAGCAATTGATTACAAAACAAAATAGTTTTTTTTATACTTTGTATTGGTAATTGATAAAAAGTCAAAGAACAAGTGGACTATTTATCTGCGTTGAATGACCACTAATAACCCCTTATGTCACGCGCTCCTATATGACGTCATTTCTAAATGTAAACAATGAGCATGATCAATGAAGGAGTTCCCGTCATGGAGAAGAAAATGGACAATTCATTTAAAAGTACGCTCTATTATCTAAATTTTAATATACCAGAAGCAAAACAGAATATTAGTACATTTACGGTAAGTAAACCTACATTGTATAAAAAAATCAAGAATCACGAAGCCCCCCCCAAAAAAAATAGCCTTGCAAGATGTCATAAGTATTTGGACTACCCCCACCCCCTTGAAAGCATTTACTCGGTGATTTAGAGAAAAAAGTGAATGGGAAATACGATTAGGTGTACATCCACAGTGATGTATCCTTGCATTAGTTACAGAGGCGGATTTAGGGGGTGCTTTGTGGGGGAAATTTGGTTGATTATTGAGGGAAGCATGACTAGAGCGGTCCATCTCTAAGGCAGTCAGTGCCTACCCCCATCCCCCCTTATGGAACTTCTGGATCTGCTACTGAGTTAAGTCTCCCGGCTTTTTTTTAAATTGAAATTCAGCCCCTATCCAGATTTTCAAAATGCATGACCAATGCCCTTCAGTTAACCCATTCGATTTAGTTCTTATTCTAAAAAAATCTTAGGGAAACAACTGTCCCAGGTAAGGGCAAGGGATGAGCGCTCATATGTTAAAAGCGGCCACACTAGTCTTTATGTGCCTGTCTGCTGTCAGGAGCCTGTAGTTGAAGTTGTCATTGGTTCATGTATGTTGTATTTTTTTTTCGTAAATTGTTTTGCTATAAATTAGGTCGTTTGTTTTCTCAATTGCATTGTTTCTTATTTTTCATGTTGGGGCATTTTATCATCTGACTATACGGTATTGGTTTTTCTCATTGTTGAAGTCTGTACGGCCTATACTTGCTTACATCCACTTCATTTGGACTTTGGTGGACAGTTGTCTCATATACAATCATCCCACATCTCCTTATTTTTACAAGGAGGTTAATTGTATGATGTTCTCCTTGTTTGGGAAAACTGTACATTTGTCACATGATCATGCAGCATTCTGTGGTGTGTGTATGTAAGAAGATGTTACTGTAACAGGGTAATTTATGAAAAACTATCAACAAAATCGAAAGACAGACAGAAAACTTTTGAAATTTAGTGAGCAATAAAAAACAAAACAGAAGTAATTCAAGCAAATTAAACATACATTTATTGCGAATGGATCTTAACAGCACATTTCAAGAGTGTTCAAATTGGAAAAAATGAATGTTATTAAGGAAATGACAGATTTCATTGATCTTCAATCAGATGCATGGCAAAAAAAAAACTTTCAAGGGAACGACTTCAATTCAACCACGAAGAACCCTTAGTTCAATAAATTCTAAAATCAGTAATTGTGATAATATTAAAGTTATGAAGTGTATAATATTTACATATATATATTTATGTATATAATATGTAGTTTCCATTTCTCGTTTCAGAATTTTTCAAACAGTGGCTATACCTTTCATGTAACTATTTATGTGTTGCTTATGAATTGAATTGTAACACTTCTTAGTGACTGGATAGGTTAAACCAATGCCTTCCTGGAAAATTACGACACCAATGAACAGCACCTGACCTTTTACTGTTCCTGCTAATAAAGTAAAAATGGCTTCACTAGAAAAGGACGACACCTAGAAAAAGCATCAATTCTTTGGCTTTCCTGATTGAAGGATTCATTTTCATAACTCCAGTGTATATGCCAGTATACCCAATTTTTACCATAGTATAATACTATAAATTCACTGTAATTTTCATATCTGAGCCAGTCCAGGATGATATCGACTTATGATATGCAGTCAAGACAGATCATTGCAAATTGTTTAAATTACCGATAATTAAAATACATGCATGTTTGGCATACATCTTTTAACAGCAAATTGTATACAGACATCCCCCCTAAAAGCATTTAAAAAAATACCAAACAAGAACTTTGTCATACAGCATGTTGACAGGCAGAGATGCAAACACAATGACTTAAAAACTTTGCTGTATCGCTATCTATTTAATATGCATATTGCCATCTATATCAGATTTTAAGACCGTTCCATTTTCTATCCATCAGTTGAAGTTATTAACTTAGAGCATGATGAAAAAGAATAGTTTTACAATTTAAAATATGAGTACAACATACGGCTGGTTAGAATGCAAACCGTTCAGTTTGCTAAATATCCAATAAGTTCCACCAAATATGCTGAAATTTTATACTGGAGGCAAACCCTACACAATTACACTAGCTCATTGAACACCAGCTTGGTTTGACAATACTAAAATGTATGTAAAACTATAATTCAATAGAACATAGGTGGGTATACAGGCAATCAAATCTTGTATATATTCAAGTAAAAAAAATAAGCGTTCACCGTACACCGGTAATGTATGCAGGAATACCGTGAACTGAAAATGTCAAACAAATATGCAAACTTTCACGTTCAAATGTGTATAGGACTATATATATATATATATATATATATATATATATATTCAAGATAAAAGGCATGAATTTGACAGAATACAGATACATTAAATTACAATGACACGGATATAGCACTAGACATAGACACTAAAATGATTTACATGTTTACTAAAAATTATAATTCAAAAAATAAAATTATGAAAATTGTCATGATATTTTGATAATATGAATAGACTAGATTAAAAAAATGAGTGAAATTTAAGTTGACTAGATTTTCTCTGTAGCCTAATACCTTAGGATGACCCACATAAGTTATTGAAACTTATTTCCAGTGGGGTCCTTTTATAGGTCGGTATACCTATGAATTCCATTTTTTCACAAGAGTTTATGGCAAAGCGGGTTGAAATACAGGTATAAACCCCTGAGTGTTGCAGTTAAGAATTGAGAGCTTTCTTTCAAATTCAAACGAAGTTGAAGGCTATACATAAGTCATCCCTTACATCCATGTAATTCGGCCCTTGATGGAGATATGTCTCTTTCACAATCATACACATCTCCTTATTTTTGATGGGGGGTTGGTTATGCAGACATAAGTAAATAAGAAATGTTACTACACAGTAAATGCTTAGCATTCAGGCATACAGACTTGCCACTACAAACATGTATCCAGAATAAGATTTTAGAATCCATGCAGGCATACCTGACTGAAAAATGCCAAAATAAATAATAATTTATGTCTACATACCCCACGTTCGTATGCAGGCATACAGACCTAAACTATGCCAAAATAAATATTGTGAAGGTACTAAATACACCAGATTTATATGCAGGCATACAGACCTGACAAATACTAGTATACGCAGAGAGTGAGAGTTTAGCATACGCCAGGTCGGTATGCAGGCATACAGATCTGACAAATACTAGTATACGCATACAGTGAGAGTTTAGCATACACCAGGTCAGTATGCTGGCATACAGACCTGACAAATACTAGTATACACATACAGTGAGAGTTTAGCATACATCAGGTCGGTATGCTGGCATACAGACCTGACAAATACTAGTATATGCATAGAGTGAGAGTTTAGCATACACCAGGTCGGTATGCTGGCATACCGACCTGACAAATTCTAGTATACACATAGAGTGAGAGTTTAGCATACACCAGGTCGGTATGCAGGCATACATACCTGACAAATACAAGTAAGAGAAAAAAGACTGAATTTAGCATACTTTTCATTGAAACATCTGAAATAAAGATGGGCAAATGCTATGTTATGTATATATTTCAAAAATGGCATAAAAGTATAACAAAAATGCAGAATGAGTAATTTTTTAAGGTTTATTTGCTTCAACTATTTCCTGGGTGTTGAAATAGTTCATTCTAGCATCCTATGAAAAAGGTTTATGATAAAATGATGAAGTTTTGGATTCGCATTTACAAAAAAAGACCACAAATCTTGCAAAAAAATGACAGACAAATATAAATAATGCTATACAGTGACTTTTTAACGCGAAATATATCAATCACCCCAAAAGATGTAGCTTTTTCACACAAAAATCAGTTAAGTGGCATATGAGAATTTCTAATTTTAGATGAGAACGTGTTACAGGTAGATAGAGAATTTTACGCTTATTGTCATCCAATCAGAACCATTGATACAAAATAATTGCATTAGAATGGTGTGTACACGATACAAATTCATATCATGTTACTTCTGAATAGGAGTATTCCAAGTGCATTAGAGCCTGGTTTCTTTGGAGATTTTATTTTTGTTATTAGACTACACTCAAAAATAAATCAATTAATAGATGTTAAAAATATAGGTGCAGAGGATACCAAAAAAAATACCACTTAAAATTTATAAGTGTAAGAGAAACCGACCACACTCATTGCAAAACAAAAAGCATGAATAAACGTATATATGAAATACATACAAAATAAGCACTGCACAAATTATTGTGGTCGTGTGGATTTGTGGAAGTCTATTCGAAAGTATCATTTGGTTTGAATCTAAATATAACTATTACATCGTTTTGTTTAATCACACATGACAAGCCAATGTAAATATATCCTTTATCCAAATGAATACATAAACTTCTTGTATGTTCTACGTGGTACTTATAATCCAAAAGCATTCTATAATCCGCACTATTGTAACATTGATTTTCAAATTTTGTAAAAGTACCTTCATTATGAGAAAATACCGAGATGCCAGCACTTGTTGCTGCATAAACTCTGTTTTCGGTAGCTCCTATTGCACGAACATTTTGGAGTCCTCGATTTTGACCTTCATGCTCTTTAATGTACTGTCCCGTTTTTCTACCAATGCTAGTCAATTTCTTATCATTTTCATCAGCAATGAAAATGACATCCTGACATTTGTTCTGAGAAAGGGTTACATGAGTAAGTCGACGGGCTGTATCAAATTCATGTACTGATGGTGCAAACTTAGTCACCACTGCATCTGTCTTTCCTGTTTCCAACTTACAACGATAAAGATGAATTTTATCTGACAAAATAAATTCAGTTTCAGATAAAGCAAGAATTCCCTGTATACCACTTTTTGAATCCATAATACCACCCTGTGTTACAGAATGAGTAATTATATCTTTCATGTTGTTAACATCAAAAATCAGAATGTCAAATTTCTTTTTATAAATTACCCCGATTGTATTATTATCTATTTTAGCCAACCTATTAGGTTCTAGAGGAAGTCTTTTCTCTTTTAGTCCAGAGTTATTTGATATATCTCGAATTACAATCCTCTTGTTATCAGCATCTATGTAGACGATGTAAATTTTCTTGTGAAGGTTAACAAAACACATGTCTAATATTCGTGGTTTCTCGTTAAACCCGCTTTGTAATTCATTTCCATCATAAAATTGGCAGATTGTGTGGTCACAGTGGATTGAAAAGTAATCATAAGCTAAAAGGCAAATAATATCAACTTTAAATGCACTGACTAAACGAAGTTAAAGTTTTGACTGCACTAATATACAAGTTGTAAATTCACAAGTACTGTTTCTATTTCTATCGTTAAATGCACTAAGCTTTATATATACCAAAGCTAATACGAGATTCTGTTATACAAATTTCCTTATCCATAGTCTCTGTAAAAAGATTTGTTTATTGCATAAAATAACATTTAACTTACCAATTTTACTACATCAGTTGCGCATTTCGACAACAATGTCTCTTCAGTGATGCCTAAATATTTGAAAATCCAAAACGTAATAAAAAATTCAAGAACTTATAAAACCAAAAAGGACAAAAAGTATAACCAAAGACAGACAAGGAATCAGAGCTTTGCATGAGGAAGATATATTCCTTAATTAAATGTTTTAATAAAAACCACTTCATAACTTTATTTTCATGCCAGTACCTAAGAACTGACTACTGGGCTGGAGATGTCATCGGGGACTAACATCTACCAGCAGGGGTATCGACCCAGTAGAGGTAAAAACGTTAATTTTACTGCACCAGATATGCATTTCGACAACAAAAGTCCCTTCTTTTTTAAGTTTTTGATTCGAACTTCACTGATGAGTCTTTTGTAGACGAAACGGGCATCTGGCGTACATGAGAGGCGAAGGATACCAAAAGGACATTAAAACTCATAAGTCGAAGACAAAGCACGTGCGGTGAGGTTTCGGAGCTTTCCATGGGGCAAATATATTATTTACTTTAAAATAATTTCCAAAATTTTGTAACAGCTAATTTCAATAACACAATTGTCTTTCCAGTACCGAAGTACTGGCAACTGGACTGGTGATGCCCTAATGGACTAACAGGTCACAATCAGAGGTATCGCTCTAATGGTAGTAATAACATTACATTTTCTGTTTGTTGTTTTGTGTATGTTTATTCCCGTTTTTATTTTTTTCGTATTAAGCAGTTTATGGTTAAATATATCTTTATTGGTATCTATTTAAGCAGTTTATGGTTAAATATATCTTTATTGGTATATATAAATGAAGTTTGATACGCATCTAATGTCTTTTAATTAATTCTTATCTATTTGCTGGATTATATTATGATATTTACAATATGAGCTGAATTCATACAGATAATGATGTTTTATTGGCTTCAATACCAATTACATTCTTCCGAGTTGAACAATTAGTAGACCTGATACATTGCAATAAAAATAATTAATAGAAATGAGAAACATGTCAATGAGATATCATCATATGGTATGTAATAGATCATTATTTTGTGAAGTATATATTTCCGTACTTCATGCACTGTGTTATGGTCACTTGCTTTCATTCCGAATATACTTTCATAAGAGATCATTCAATTTTTATATTATTTTTCATTTTACTGAGTACTGAGTATATACCTCCAAATTCATTGAAAAATAAATTGAGGGACAATAGCAGGACATTTGATATTAAGAATGGTTATTCCTACTTTAAGGTAGATGGGGGGTCTTCATTTAAATCCATAGAATTTTTTGATAATTTGTCAAAATGTGGTTTATATCATGCTTTTTTCAAAAATATAATAAAAAGTATGGGTCACCGTGCTTTTTTCCACGCTACGGGTTGAGCAAAATTGTCAAATTTTGTATAGATTATGCATGGAAATCTCAAATTTGGGTGATAAAAAGAAAACTACACCATAGAATTATAAGATAAAATATGAGAATATAGCTCTAATAATATGCTTTCAGATAAGAAAAAGAAATAACGGGGTCACGGGACTCGTTTTCTTGCTACATAATAAAATAGGTAAATTCACAACACATTCTATTACAAAAATTACTTAATCGAGTTATCTCCCCTTGTATCTGAGTTATCTACCCATATATGGCAAAATTTTTAAAAAATGAATAAAACAAACATAATCTGATTTTTGTAAAATACAGCCGTAAATATGATAAAACACATAATTTTCTATATTAAAATGAAAAGTCTTACGCATGAATTACATACTACTCTCGAAATTTGCACATTTCATTAAAGATCTAGACCGATTGTTATCTGCTTTTTCAAAATCCAAGATGGAGGAAGACACCCTATCTACCATAATGTGCGGTCGATCAACACCCAATAACCAATATTGCAGTGAATGCTTGCATTTCATATCTATAAGTGAATTTAAAATAAGGATCCTACCGAAATCCGACATGATTTATCACTCGACCTGTTTCGTTAATATTGTCACAGACGGACGACTTCAACATTGAATCTATGACAAACGGGATGATAACAGTGTTCCAATTGTCAAATTCTCATTTCTCAAGAGTGTAATATCTAACCAATCGTAGGGTGCTAAAATGTCTCCATTGAGACTTTACATTTTTTCCAGGGTTGAACTAAGGACCAAAAAAAAACTATTCCTGTAGGTTTCTGAGGAAGACCAACTCAAAACGACACTTCAAAAGATTTACAATCACCATCATGAAATTGTTGACATATACGATTTGTTCGACCCTCAACTCACAAAGCTTTCGTGGTTTTTGATCTTTGGATTCCAGAATAGTCGTTAGATCTGAAAATTAACCGAGGGTGTCCTATTCCTTATTTTGTTATATTAACTGAGAGTTGATTCGCATTGCTGATGATGCATGCGTATCAGGAGATGCTTACCCTATTATATTGAAGGAAACCCCGTTTATCACGATTTGTGCTTTAGAAATTGAAGCGCTGTAGATTAACCACTCGATACTTCGTTTACTATTATAGCTATTAATAATCATATTAACATCAAATAGATTAAAGAAATCTGTAATGTAACTTTGTTCATTACATGATATGCTTTCGGGTGTAACTCGAATAATACGAATACGTTTTTCTTTTCAATTTAAAAACAATGAAGTAATAAATCATATTACCTTTTAAGTTATCGTCAACGAACTTTTTCGGTAGTTCTGTAGTAATTTCTTTGCGGTCTTCTACTGTTGGACGTATGTCGTTCATGGTATCATTCTCATTTTTCTCTTTATATCCATTCAAAAAATCTGCAAAAGACCAATATTTTTCTCTGTTTAAAGCCTCATTCATAAAACTACAGATAGAACAATACTCTGTATAAATCATAACCTCAAAACATACGGTCAAAAAAAGAACTGACAATGCCATGACATAAAACGACAAAAGACTAAGAACAGTTTACAAAACACAACATAAACAACAAAGACTGAGAAACAGGAAACATACCAAAAATCGGGGTTGATCTCAGGTGCTCCAGAAGGGTAGGCAGATCCTGATCCACATCCGTCGTGTTGCTCATGCAAGTACAAACTTGGGTATTGGTTTTTGGATACTTTTTTGTCAGAGTTCCCTTTGATATCTACTGTACTTTACCCCGTTAAGCGTGCTATTGAGGGAAATTTAGTCAAGCACATATTACAGACCTTACGGTATCCGCAGTCTATTGTTGAAAACCCTAAAAATTCAAATGCAATTACGTTTTGGTTAGATTTGAACGTTAAATATATTAATACATGAAAGTTTTCAAAGTTATCTGTGTATAAAAGAGTTGTTACAAACATTCTTTTATAGGCATCAGCTGTCAAATTGATGTTCACTTATTTGACTCAAATTCTCATATTTGACTTATAACATACTAAAACGTATATCCAAATTATAAAAAGTCTAAAATAAACAATTTACAATGCATGGGCTCGATAATATGTATCAGCATTTCGTGTGTATTTTAGTCTAGACGCCATCTAATTTACCATCGAAGTAACCTCCGAAGACTGCCGACGCTAATATAACCCGATATAAACATAAATATATATATAAATAGATAGCGAACGTGTGCAATTGGATTTTTTATGTCTGTTTAATTTCATATTATAGGTTTAAAAGTTCGCTACTCTGTTTCAAAATAACAAGCGTTTTATAAGACTGTTATAAATTGATAGTATACAAATAAAGAAACTAAAACAGCAGAAAAAAACGAAGGGTCCGTGTGCTTCTTTTCGAGATATATGCAATTGAAAATTTGGCGGGAAATAGTGCTCTCTAGATTTTTCATACATTTAACATTGGCACCTTTTTTCCTTCAAAAACGATGAAAAACTAACAAGGATTTTATAAGATTTTCAAAGATAACATTTTAAACTATATGTAATCAAAGTATAGAAAGAATAGTAGGGGTAAATGGTCAAAATTTTTAATGGCTCTACATGGATAAAACCAGAGGATTCCGAATATCTGGCAAAAATTCAAAAAACAAGAGGAGCGAACATTCTTAATCATCGTGTTTTTATTTTTTTGTATAAGAATGAGCTTTTATGGATCGAATCAGTCAATCAAATGGTTTACCCTTGTTTCACTTTCAATGCTGACATTCTTTTCCTTTTAATAACTTATCACGCCTAATTCATGCGTAACCCATCTCTAGCTAAGGGGTTAAATTGAAGGTCACATGAATACGGATTCAATGAGGTCGAATTTTTCACTTGCAAGTGAATAGTTGATCAGCGATGTTTCTTAGCTTATTTTGACAAAATTGAACCAAACTGGCTTCTAAAAGTATATTATTATTTCACTTTTTCACTTTCATTATTGATTAAACAAAAAAAATCATATTTTAATTTTTTTTTATATCTCGTAGCTAATGCCCCTTTAAAGAAAATATTAGCTTCTTTTCTTTCGTTCAGAAAAGCTTTTGTTTAGAGTCTGTCTCATACGAATAAAGAAACAAGTCGGCAAGAAGATGAGCACAGTTGGAGTTCGGTATTTTTGTTATTTTACTTATTTGGTTCCGAAAGAAATGTCAATTGTCTATTGAAGAACACGTTCTTCATACGCAACATATATGTTGTCTATAAAACAATCTTACATCTTGATTTCACTTTCAGAAATCTTTTTGTCAGAGTAGTGTTTTTACAAGTACGATTTATTTTTGTCAAAAAAAAACATATGTTTCTAAGATGGCCACTATTTTTTAAAACAAATTCTGACTAATTATTTCAATCTGTTTAAAGTCTTTGAAGAAGAATACTGGTAAAAAGAGTAAATAAGTCAAATGATTTTGAAAGTTGAGAGACATCTCGATCGTATGCACTTTGACAGATTTATGGAACTTTTAGCATCCAAATATGGTTCAAAATGTTAATAACATTGAAACAGGTTTGCTGGATAATTCAACAGACACATCAATCAGCTCAACGAAGGCAAATCGAGTTATTCCTCTTTAGTTGAAATTCCAAAGAAACATATAGAGGAGTCATGATTGTTAGTTAATTTCTAATACCTAATTCCTTTAAAAATCAGTGTATATAAAAAGAAGCGAAAGATATCAAAGGGATATCAAATCTCATAAGTCGAAGACCAAAAAAACATTGCAAAAAAAAAAACGAAAAACGAGAAGAGACAAACAACTGTCTACAAAACACTACATCAAAAAAATTAAAAACTCAGCAACACGAACCCCTGGAAAAACCCGGGAGTGATATCATGCATCTTGTAAGCAACAGTTCTCTATCAAGGAAACGCACGCTCTGGAATATCATATCAACAGGGAGATATGTATTCCGTATGCAGGCCTTGTTGACATGTTGTTACATAGAAAAGGAAAGTTAACAATTCAAAAAATCATCTTTTTGGACTTAATGTATTGTTCTTAACCGACTCTCATTGTCAATTTCTAGAAATGATTCAGAATTAACTGTATCTGTGGTATCCTTTTTCTCAAGTTTTGAGTGGTTAAATAAGTGAAATAAAGTCACCAAAGCTTGAATTATATAGTTAGATAACACCATTTAAATAGCGCGTCGAGAAATAAAAGGACAATTCTAGCTTCATTTCATTCTTTTTCGTTAGAAGCTCCTGTATGCTGTTGTCCTAATATAAATGCGGTAACATTGCCTGAGAGAAGAAGGTATCTATGCCTGAGAGAAGAAGTTTCGAATATTTCAAAGTATAAGCTGAAAATATATAGAAAATGAACATTTAAATGAAGTTTCATGTCAACATAGTATGCTGACTACTGGACTGGTCAAACTTCCCCCGGCAGTGGCATCGACCCAGTGATTGTAAAGCCTCATCAAAAATAAAATTTGGTACACCAGACTTGCGTTTCGTCTACATAACACTCAGCAGTCGAGCTCCAATAAAATCAGCTTGGAGTCCAAATCCAATACAAAGTTTAAGTGCATTAAAAACGGAAAATTCGAAAAATTGTGCCAAAAACGGCTTAAGGCAGACGTGAATTAAGTCGTTAATATTGAGATCCTGTAACACGCATATGTAATTGAATATTTAAGTTGCAAAAGATGTGGCATAGGCAGGATGAGAGATAAGAGATGACAGGAATAAACGGATATTTGTAGTATAGAGGTATATTAACTGTGTTGTCAAAGGAAAGTTTCTCTTTTCTCTGTTACATCTGAGTGGCGTTTCGATAGTGGCAGTGAAATGGCTTTATGCGGATGTAATAAATACCCGACGCCTTCTGTGTTAATGGCAGACGGCCATAAATAGAGTAAATCATGTATAATGACGAGGATTATGACTGCGTCTACTCCGAGGAGCAGAGAACAAAATATTCACGTTCAATAAGAAACCAGATAGAATTACTTGAGAATCAATTTTGTCATTACAAATTAGATTGATTAAATATTGATACACAATGTGATTTGTATTGTTGTCAATGTTTGATCTATTATATGATTAAGAATAGCCTTCTTATTTACGTAATGACCATTGTCTAGTAAAATTCTTGATTGAATCCATAAATTTTTCGAAGTCGTGTTGCCAGTTTATGGTTTTAGGTTCACGTTATGTCGGATATAGTGCTAACACAGCTCGTACATACGTGTTGTAAACAACTTGATGGTCATCACTTATATCAATGCGAAACTGGCACAGCTACAATTGGGTGATTTAATTTGAAAAGGTCAATATTAAGATTTTTCAACACGTGTTCTAATTTGAAAATTTTAGTCACAATATATATAATATGTGTGTTATTGGTATGAGAGGTGATTTGAACAGACCATGGGTATTACCATGGGTTTTTATTTGCATATGAAGAAGAATTCATACAAAACCTTTTCAAAAACAAAACAAAAAACTTCCTGCAAAGATCTATAATTTTACATTTTACTTGATTCCATCAGTTTCTGTCTGTTATCTTGATTAGTTTTGTTAATCGGTTTATAAAATTTGAACATCGGTAAACTTCTCTTGCATAAGTTGTATTCAAATTAACTTGAATCTATATACACATTCATTATTGTGTGAACTTTTTATGATATATACACGTGAAAAAAAAAAATCACACCACCTTGAACAAATGACTAGTAAATAATACCCGGACATGCTTCGTCATTTAAAAATTTATTGATAATGTTTACCTTTTTTGATATCATACCTGTGTCCCAACGATTTTGTCTACCGTAAAAGTCATAACTAGCACGTGCATTATGGTACCCACAACTAGGAGAAAACTCACTATTATTACCACGTTTGCAAATTGTTATAACTTTAACACAATAGTTTTACAATTTGACTTACGAAATTATAGTCATGAGCCCATCACAACTCTCAAATGAGAAAAGATGGCAAACTATTAGGACGAGAAAGGCTGCCATGTCACTGATACAGATAACAATGCAGATGGGGCATCATTACACAATCATCAGTCGTCTTGTACGAAAGCATTGATCCACTCACGAATGCTGCTCAAGACAAGCGCAGTACTGGAAACCCCCGAAAAACATCTGCTCGGGAAGATGCTGCTTTAGGAAGACTAGTAAGACGAAATCCGTTTTCGAACAAAATTTTGTTGAAAGGTCATTGGTTACCCATCCATGCACTGTCCTGTAGATCGCTTTGAAACGCTTCGGGATATGAACACCATTTAGCACATCTGGAACATAATTGGTCGTCGTGTACGGGGTAGAGTACAACCAGTTCAGAATCTCGCCTGAAAACAAGCTCTGCATCAGGAATGGCACAGACTTCTACAACGCCAAATTCAAAGTTTGATCCAAGGAATGAGAAGACGGTTGGCATTGGGGATTCGTGCGAAAACTCGGTATTAAATATTATCCTGTTTATTGTAACCGCTGACACATATTGTCACTTTATGTATCCAAAATTAAACATTGTCAATTTTTAGTACCAATGACAAGAAAATAGTTAATTTAATTCATTATTTTTTTCAACCTTTTTATTTTTTAAACAACAAAATGAACTAAGATATATACTTCGTGGGCCATAAATAATAATATATGTTTCTATATTTTTGTTTTTTTGAAAAATCAAGGTGTTTATATCAAATAAGGGTTTTGGTCCAAATTTTAAAATTCATTGAACATTGAAATTTGAAAGTACAAGCGGGGGCTTAGAATTTTATTGATTTTTACTCTTGTTCTTATGCGCATATCGCCACACTTCGGTGCAATAAATTTAAGACACGCTCCTTGTTACCGATAGCTTACTATTGTATATGCAAATGAAAATTCCAAATTTAACTATAAATTCAAATCTTTTTCTGATGGCTTAATATTTTTATGCTATAATGCAACACCTATTTGTCTTTTTCAATCGCAATACTTTTTTAAACATAACGACTTTAACTTCAAATGACTACCACGCTTTACCGACACATTGCCGTCCAATCATAAATCATTGTCACTTCTCTAACGAGTCAATAGGCTGAATCCTTCTCACTGATGTTTAGTGTTTAGGTTAATTGTTAGCTGTCACTCCTTCTAGTTACGGAAAGCAAGACTGTGTTCCGTTTTACTACAATACTGTCTTGGGCGAAATAGTACTTTTGATTAATATATGGGAAATTAAATTATTTAATAAAACAATATATACATGTACTACTTTCAAACACCTTTTCAAATTAATACATATGTTCAAACTTTTAAGAATATTGATTAGAAAAAACTCATCGAAGATAATACACTTATAATGAAGTACGCTATTGGTGCTCGTCTCTTGGCAATTCGAAAGCAATATCAAATACAAAGTTGAAGAGCATTTAAAAGTCCAAATAGTTTTACCAACTTTTGATAAGCCCATCTATGCTTACAGATGGAAAAATCATTGTGTTTTGAATATGTCAACATTTTATAAACAATAAGTTTAAGAGAATGACTGTGTGAATGAGATTTTATATCTGCACTGGGGTGCAAACTATTGGGACGAAACATCCACCAGCTAATGCATCAACCCAGTAGTTCTAATAACTCGTCAAAAATTCAGTTAAAGTTACAGTAGTTTGTAATTACCGATGTTCAAATCTGTTAAAACGATTAGGATGAGAAAATTCAAGATAATAAACTATAACTGAGGGAATCGCACGAACGTTAAAAGGAGAGAGACCGCTGCGTCGACAGGATAAGCACAACATAGAAAACTAAAGACGGAGGAATAAAATTGAGAATGGAAATGGGGAATGTGTCAAAGAGACAACAACCCGACCATAGAACAGACAACAGCAGAAGGTCACCAACAGGTCTTCAATGCAGCGAGAAATTCCCGCACCCGGAGGCGTCCTTCAGCTGGCCCCTAAACAAATATATATACTAGTTCAGTGATAATGAACGCCATACTAAACTCCAAATTGTACACAAGAAACTAAAATTAAAAATAATACAAGACTGACAAAGGCTAGAGGCCTTATCAAGATACAAGAACAACATATACCCTATACAAAACAACATATACCCTATAAAAAACCTTGATACGTTAATGAGCTATATCAAGTGATTAAGCATGACGCATTAGTTAATTGTTTATTGATTTTTTATAATACTTAGACATCACAAAATTCATAAATCATCGGTCATGTAAATATTCCAAATCTATAGCATGACCAAATGTGAAATTTTGAAATTGAATTGCAACATTATATTCATGACAAAGGACAGGCAAGACTGTATAAACATCAGAAACAATGAAAAATTAGAAAGCACAAAGAACAACACTTTAAACTAAAGCAAAACCCATCAAACATACCAGGCTTACGATTAAGTACGGCAAACACCCCTCCAAAAAACACAAAAACAAAACAAAAATTGATAAAAAAAATCAATTGTTCCCAATGTTTCTAAGGCCATAGATCCCCGGAGGAAACACCTTAATGTTTTTGATACTATTACATTTTTCATAAACAGTTCGTCTACAAAAAAAGTCATAAGCGGAGCTCGATTAAAACTATTTCGAAGGCCAAATCAAAAACAAAACACTCTAACAGCGATGAACCACCGCAAAAAAAAGGTGCTAATCTTGATAAGGTCATCTAAGCATTGAGGTAAAAAACCTTAGTATTTCAAAATTAATGTTGGTAATTAAAAATGCATAGAAATGCAGTCTACTGACCAGATGATACATTCGGTGACGAAATGTCCACCGGCAGTTGAAACAACCCAGTGGTTGAGAATACGCATCAAATATACAATGCTAATAATTAAGTACGCCAAACGTAAGTTTTGTCTACAATAGACATTTTTAACGTTCATATCAAAACAAAAGTACTTTACACGTTCACTGTAAACCATGTAATGATCGCGACTTTCACGGTAAGAAAAACAACGCTTTATAAATCGTCGCAAAAATGTTAAACTGCGATCTTCCCTTATATAAATATAAAGAAAATAAATCGCCGCGAAGCCAACTAGAAAGTGCAAAACTAGAAATATAGTATGCGCGAAAATTAGTTGGTTTACAGTATTATTATCAATGAACACCTGTCAATCGTGTTTAGAATCTTTGCATTTAATAAATATTCTGAATGTATTTGTATACGATCCATATGATTTTTAGATAGTTCTCATTATACAAATTCGAATTAAAAATACTTACAAAATATCAGACAAACTAAACCTAAAAAAATACATTTTAAATTAATAAAAATAATTCCAGTATTTGGTTCACAGCTTTAATGATTTCTAATATATAACTAATAACAGTAAAACACTTTTTGCTTAATACAAAGGAATATAAGTAACGAATTAACTATATACCTTACACTTTACAGCGTATCCAAATCCTCAAACGTGTCCATATGACGACACTGTCTGCTCAAACAAGACTATTTGTTGAAAAACGCTCAAACGTATCCTTTCAGAAAGGCCTGATCATGTCCATATTTCAAATGGCCAAATGTTTCATCTTGATAAAAAATTGTTAGGGGTTCCGGGGAACCCGGTGTTTCGCGTGAGATTGCTGCTGTCAGTGTAAAAGTGTAATGTTGACTTAAAAAGTGAGTCCATTTATCAGTAAAATACAGAATTTAAAAAAAAAACATCACACTTTTTGTTTAGCTGAAATGTCTTGCTCTTGAAGATTAAATTTTGTCCAAGTTTCATAACAATCCATGAAGGTTAACAAATTTATCATGTCAAACAAATTTAACCCTCGACTGTCTGTTAACTGTAAAAAACAGTCCATCTATCAGAAAAATACTTAAAACGAATAAAATATATTTTCAAATGTTTGCTTCAGACATTATCTCTTAAACATTAAAATGCTTCTGCCAAAGTTTCATAAAACTCTATGAAGGTTTAACAAATTAATTGATGTGTAACAAACTTTATATCCAGACTGTATCTATTTGTAAACTGTAAAAAAAACTAAGTCCATTTATCAGTAAAAAACGGAGAAAAGAATATAAATGTTTTAAAAAATTTGCTCTGGATACAGTATGTTGGTCATAAAAAAGCTTCTGTCCAAATTTCATAATATTCCATGTAGGTTTGACAAAGTTATCAATGTCTAAACAAAAAATTTAACCACAGACTTAACCTAAATGTTGACGCCCCCGACGACGGAATCTAGAATCGATATGTCTCGCTTTTCCGAAATAATTTCGCAAGCTTGACAAAAACGGTTATTCTACCATGACCATGAAACCAAGTCCATACCAGAAGATTATAAGGATATTTGAAGACACGATAAACTACTTACAAGGGCGATATTGCGAGGATTTCAAACGGTAAAGTTGAAGTTATCCCTTCGAAAGTGTTACGGTCGCCATCATGGTTTGGTTGACCGTTATGGAATATCTATGTTTTACCCGGTTTTTTGTTGGGGTTCGTGTTGATCATTATTTGGTGTTCTATGTGATGATTATTATTGTTGTTTTTCATGTCGTCGTTTTTAATTTTCGCCATTGTGTAGTCTGTTTTTATCCAACTTTGACTTTTTAATGCCACCTCGGTATTTTTTCTCTCAAAATAGAGATTTTCTATGAAATGGGCGGCTTGTAGGATTTTGCAACAAGAGACTGACTAAATTGCCTCTTGATACTGAAACTGTGTAATGCTCCTGATCACACAACGAACGAATGCTCTGAATGATAATGACAACTATGGGTCGGAAACTCTGGTGCAACCTTACTCTAGCTAAGGTAAGTTGTTGCTTTAATTAAACACAAAAATAAGGAGATATTAGTGCTTATTGACTAGCGGCGGAAAGTATACAACTGAGTTGAAACCTTCAAATGTCATGAAAACAGCTCTTTATACTTGCTGACATTTATTTTGAGCTGCAGCATAGATCAACAGAAAACACTTGGAAAGTCATGTTCAATTTGACGTTTAAAACAAAATCTGTTATTCATAATAATATTCTTTAATTCAACTTAAATACCTTCATTATGATTCTGTCCTTGTTCATAGATTTTCGTAAAGATTTCGACTTGATACATTAAGAGATAATTTAAGTATTCAGTAATTCCAGTGTTGATTTGAACATTCATTTGCAGACTGGTTTTCCTGCTCTGAATTTCTCGGTAATTAAAAAGAATATTAGGAAGTGAAAATTCAACCATTGGAGACCATGTTGTTTTGTAACAGAGGATTGACGATGTGTCTAACGTCACATGGTCCAAATTAGGGCAAAATTTTCTGAAGGATTGTGGCGTCGTAACTAGATATGTTTTGTTTGAAAAGATAAAGTCGGACACGTTTTGGGGAATGAAATTGTTTTTTTTGAGTGAATGTGAATTTAAGGACACGTTTGAGCAAAATGGAAACGTTTGGGCGAAGCACGCTCGTTTAGGGGATGAACACGTTTGAGAGTGTAACATATCCATAGAGTACAACGTACACGTATCTGTTGATGATTTAGGTAAGAAATCAGGGATCTATTACAAATCCGCAAGCCACAAACATTATGTTAAACGCACTTTAACAGTTTTAAAAAAGGAGCATATAAACGTTTTCGTTGGTGTTGGAAACCAATTTTTTTATGAAAAAATTAAAACACAAGTTAGACGAAATCAGTAGGTAAGTTGCAAAATTATGGATTTTATTTGCTCTCAGAAATATAAAAAATAGAAAGTATGTGATGGGTACAAAACTGAATTTTATAATCTTTGTAGAAAAGATAATTGTGATTTCTCAAGTAAACCTTATCATAACCATTGTCTCGTTCGCAGATATTTTATTTTGAGAAATTGATCATGTAAAATAAAATACCTACTTAAAGGTAGCGCCATAGCTACCATCGTTTTCGCATAATCAATTTTTTTTTCTAAAAGACTTCTATCTAAAACAAAAAGAAAACTAAATCAAACATACAAGAGAAAGGTGCATATCAATTCAAATAAAAAACGCCAATCTAAACATAAAGGGACCATTATTGACATTTACCAGAAGTTCATTTCTTATCATATTTGAACTGACCATATCGTCTAGAAAGTTTTCTTTGAATCTCCTACATCTGAATAAAAGCAGATGAATGGTACACTTCAGGAAGCAACCAAACAAAGCAGCTACAGATCAACTTACCATCTATGTATGTTACAATTTCGAGTCTGTAATAGTTAGGAATTTCACTGAAACCTACCAACAACATCAATTCATTTAGAGGACAAAACATTTAGACCAAAATTACGACTTTCGAGCTTCCTGGCTTTACAAAGACATATAATATGAACTACTTTTCGTATTTCGCAACCCTTTTCTCGATTTCAATCTCTATCAGTGGACTAACTTATTGAACATAGAAGTGTGTGCAATTAATTGGTTCCATAAAAAAGTGTTTATACTTTTTAATATCTGAGTTGGAGACGAATTTTTACAGATACCAGTAAAATAATGATATATAAAAGTGTGCTTACATGTTTTAAATCAAGCATAAAGTTCTTAACAAGAGAATATAAAACTTTTGCCTGTTAACACTTATATCGGCCTCTTTATTTCCCCGTACATAACAAACATAAATGTATTTTACTGTAGAAAATTATTTTGTGCTTTGCCTAAAGTCAAGTTTCCCCCATGGTCCGCGGTAAAAAGAAGAATTAAATATATGAATTACTAATAAAATAAAAAGGAAAATGTATACAAAACCAATTCGGTTTAGAGAAAGCGTATTTTAGAAATATATCTTACCCTTGAATGGAACTTTCATAATACAATCTGACAAACAAGGCGATATCGATTTCATTCTATCATTTGTCTGCAACTGAATTCTGTGTAAAAATCAATGAAAAAAAAGCAGATTGTAAACAATATCTTAAAAATGTTAGAATAAAGTTTCAACTAGATATTTAAAAACATGCATTCTTTTGATAAAATTATACTGTAGAATAAGCATCTTATTTAAGGAGTATTTAACACAAGTAATTTCGTGGAGCCTCCATCACCTTTGTAGCACCGATTCTTGCTTTGGTTTTAAGAGTGGTTTGTTCCAATTATTTTTATTTCATTGTGCTTTCCTGTGATAATTGTTTCATATTTTTCGTAATTTTACCAAAATGCTTTTGCAAGATGTAAAATGTTATAAAAAGTTTCTTCTGAGATAAACGTGGCACCCGACGTGTTGATCATGTAAGTACAAACCTGATGATATTTTATAACAGTAGATACATTTTTGGATTTCTTCACTTACAGATTATACATGATATAGACGTGTCTGCAGCCAAACAGTTCCGTTGTAGTATATTCAATTGGACGTTATTGGGATCCCTCACCAAACAAGACTTTTTACCACCAGTATTTTAAAGAGGAGTAAACCTCTGGATTGAAACTCTCTGACGGATACACTTGTATCTACTAGTCTCGACTTGAATCCGTTATGGCACGACATGATTAGGCATGTCGATGCCTGACGGACGCTTTTTATATTGGCTTCATCTAGGGGAACAAGCTAACACAAAAGAAAAAAATCAATAGATTGAATAATCTAAACATGCCTTAAAGCAAATTATTTATTAATCCCATTTTCACTTAGTCTATATCATATGCGGTAACCATATCATGTACGCTAGAGTCCAAAGTTTGAATGACATATCCCTTAATATATGAAATGTGTACTGCTGATTGCTCAGGAAGATCATTTCGAAATTTGAAACTTAAATTTGACCTTACCTGTCTGGGTAAGCGTGACATTGAAAATTATGTGAATCCAAAGACTGTGTCTTTACTAGTTTGGATATTTTGCAATTGTAATCTGAAATGGCAAGATATTTACATGAAGACTGTTAATTAGCATTGGTAACATTAATAAATATCTCTCGTTTCTTCTTTAATCGTATGGATGACCGATCATTAAGTTTATTTGAATGTCACGTTTTACATTTGGGAAGAGATAAATGTTTTTGTGTCCGGATTATATTTCGATATTATATAGAATTTTTTTGTCTTTAATACATTTCTTTGTGCTAGAAATCATCATCTTCACCGCCGTCGTCGTCGTCCTTGTCGTCGTCCTCCTCCTTCTCCTCCTCCTCCTCCTCCTCCTCCTCCTCCTCCTCCTCCTCCTCCTCCTCCTCCTCCTCCTCCTCCTCATCATCATCATCATCATCATCATCATCATCATCATCATCATCATCATCATCATCTTTCCTTCTCCATTAGTGGTTTATATAGTGCTGCTCTAGACAGGCAAAATATTGGTCACATTCGGTCTTATCAATTGAAAATAAACGAAAAAAAAAGCTGAAGAAATTATTGATTCGACAAGTGCAACATATTCGTTGTCAACTTTGACACAAATAGTTTATAACGGTCAACAAAATGATAATGCTTGCGTAAACTGTCGAATATAAGTTGACCTTTTTCCCATTATTTATTATAAAATTTTGATTTCCACCGATCCTAACTGTCAAGATATTGTATAAGTAGACCAAAAAATATTTGTATTATCCTTTATTTAAAGTTCATCAGAATAGATTCGATGAACATAGTCACCAAATTTTTACATATATTATAACAAATGTTAAGATAACGTTATCATTCTTAGTAGATGAGAGGATCAACGATGATTTAGTTTAACAGATCAATTACCTAAAAGAAAAGCATTAAAACACTATTCGCGTAAAATTAAACTGCCATGAAGTGTCTTAAGTATAACTTAAAAAACACATGAAATGGTAAACAAGTATTCTGAGAAAACAAGCTCGAGTTGTAAAGTTCATTCAGTTCTTTTTCTTCTTATTTTTTTTTAAATCTTAATATCTCAGATGAAAAATTTGCCATTAGCAAATAAAAACATAACCAATCTTAATCTACATTTAAGTTAGATCGATGGTCTTCCACAACTTTGGATGTTAAATATTAGCAAATCATGCAAGTTTTAGACAAGAATGCAATTCATTTTGTTAGCCATTTCATCTAAATACAGAAAAAATGTGATTTATCTAATAATATGATTTTTTGTACAAATTCATAAACGTTTGAATTAGCATTGTATGGGGAGATTTCGGATAATCTACTTTTCAAAAGGAATGTTCAATATAAAAATAAGAAGATGTGGTATAATTGCTAATGAGACAACTCTCCAGAGACCAAATGACGTAGAAGTAAGCAACAATGGGTCACCGTACAGCCTTCAACAATGAGCAAACCCATTGCAAGCTATAAAAGGTCATGGAATGACAAATGTAAAACGATTTATACGAGAAATTTAACGATCTGATTGGAGATAAAAACCAACATTTTGAATAACACTTTATGTATTATTTTTGTCATGATATAATATCAACCTCTTAAGGCAGGACCGAGATGAAAAATTGTTTTGGAAAATGCCATGTCATCTAAAAAAAAAAGGAAATTTGGTTTGATTGCCGATTAGACAACTATCCACAAAAAGAACGAAAGCCAAGGATGTAGACAACTGCAGGTCACAATACAACCGTCAAAAGTGTTTTAAAAATACAAAACACATGCCGTAGAGTATGGCATTAATGGCAAGATCAATTTCTGCATAAAAATTGTGCGAGGTTCACTCCATTTTTTCTTAAAAACTTTTGTGGCAATTTGTTTAATAGAAAACAGGCCTTACAAGATCAGCACGTTTTCTCTTGGAAGATGGAATGGCTTAGGACAACAAAATTGGTGGCACCTCAAAACAGAAAACCAAGGCCTGACAAGCAAATTAAATGAAACAAAAACAAATATGACGGACCGCAACAAAATGAAGTACTGTATTACAGGCGTCTTGCTTGGGACAGACACATACACAAAATTGCGGATTATACATGTTTTTGATAAATGAAACCAATATTCTAACTTGAGAAAACGGTGAAACAGTACATCATTCGAAATAAAGGCAATTGTAGTATACCGCTGTTCAATAGTCAAAAATCGATTAAACTGAAACAAATCCGGGTCACAAACCAAAACTGAGGGAAACACATCAACTATAAGAGGAAACAAAATGGAACAACAGAAACACTGAACTGCTACAAAAACAAACGCCAACATACATAAAAACGGACTATGTGATAACAATTGCCATATTCCTGACTTGGAACAGGACATTTTAAGAAAAAATGGTGGGTTGAACCCGGTGGAACAGTATGAAAAATTAAAAAAGTGATTAATCCGACAAATCAGAATTTAGCACAACAAAAACAACACAATCATTTATGACAAAGACAAGAGTACCTATCTAAGAGTACTGAAGTAGCTATATATCATAGTACATAATTTGTAAAATTTATAAGTTTCTTATATCCTACCTGGTGATAGAACGTAATTGCTATCCCCACACTGTTTCTTGTAACAAGAGCAGTCTTCTTGGGAAGGCACACAATAACAATTATTTTTTGGCTTTTGGATAAATGCATATCCGTTCGAAAAGTCACACGTGCAAGCAGTATCCTCTGCCAACGACCAATTGTGATGTACCAGCTGTCCTTCACCATTGCATTTGGATTTCAGAAATATACAGCTTTCAATTATATTTGACTTGAAGTTAACTGGCATATATCGGTAACCAGGACACAAATCTGCATCAATGTTACCTCTATAAACAGCCATAAAACCTGTGATTAAGTAGTTCAGTTAAATCAAAAAATAAATTGTGATACAGCTATTATATTATTCAAATAGTTCGCTCTCTGCTACTAGGATTATTAGTTATCAGGATAAGACGTGGTATAATTTCAATTTGTAATTAATTATAAAAAATACTTTGTTTATGGCTTCAAGATGAATCCCCGTTTCAAAATTGAAATATATTCTCATCAAAAACATGCACCAAAAAAACTGTCTAAAACGGCAAAACAAATAGTCTAACCAACAATACCACCAACCTTACTGATATGAATTGCTGTATAGAAAACAAAAAAATAAAAATACCAGGCTTATAATTTGTTACGACAGATGCGCGTTAAGGAATGTTGAATAATCCATTTTTATTTCATTCCTTTTTACATTTTTTGCAGAATTGTATAATCTATGAAAATGTTTTATGTTTCTATTGTTATTCACTTTCTTTTTACAATAATTATTGTGAAAGGGTTAAATTAAGAATATGATAACATAATCGTTTGTTATTTTCAAAGTTTTCAAAAGGTCGTTTTCTATGAGTTTCTATTAGGGATTACTATAAATGGCAATGTAAATAGATATTTATGAATAAAGTAGGGTATTATACATCTAACTTATTTTTGCTAGGATGAATAGTTGAATGCGTATGCTGTTTTGTTTTCAGTTTGAATTAATTTATCAACAGTCATGCTTTACACGGCCATTGTTGTTTATTTAAGACCTTCCATAGAACATACCATTAAGGAACTTGAATTCCAAGCTTTTAAAGAGATGTGGGATATATGAAAAGGAAACATCGACTCAACTATAACATAAATTAAAAAAAGAATTTGAGTCGCCTCTTTTCAGTAAAATTATCTTTTGGAAATAATCCGAATTGTGCAATGTGACCCTGGCCCTTTAAATATCTGTAGAATCATATACAAATCATGTGAGAAAAAATTTTCTGAAAACTCCAACTCAATTTTATTTGTTTTTGTCACAAACCCGAATTCGGAGAGGGTTAAACTAACTCATCATACATACCAGGAATAAAATGTTATACTCCAGACGCGCGTTTCGCCTACAATAGACTCATTAGTGACGCTCGAATCAAAACGTTCAAAAGACCAAAGTAAGTACGAAGCTGAATGGCATTGATCGAGGACCCGAAAGATTTTTCCAAATACAGCTAAAGTAATATATTCCTGGGGTAGAAAAACATATAATTTCGAAAAATTCAAATTTTTATAAAAAAATTGATTTAAAAATTTTTACTATATCAATTATAATTCATGTCAACACAGAAGTTTTCCCCAATAATGCAGAAACTCCAAAACAATCTGTAATCAAATTTGTACGATAGAAAAACTTAATGTGAGGAAAACAATGAAACAGTCAATATTTGTAATCAAAATATAATTGATTCTAAAATAAATGCAGACACCGCCGATTTTTTACTTTAAAAATCAAGAAGGTGTTTCAATGTTTTGATTTTAAGAGGTAAATATCTTTCAACATATTAAAAGTGAATTGAATGCATCATGTTAAAAGATAACTCTGTGTTTGGGAAAAAAACCATATTATCAGTCATTTGATTTACAAATCAATCGACATATTACGCATGTTTGAATTTTCCCAGTAGAATGGTCAAATAGAGATAATGTCAGAAGGAATTGTTTTTAGGATTGTTATTCCTCCTCATCTGTTGAGGTCTGTTGACACCAATATTCGTGTAAAAGACCCAGCTTTTGTACACAGTTCAATATTTATTTCCTGCATTTTGTTTTGCAGAATGTTCATTTTCAAAATCCTCCGCCACTGATTATTGTTGATAAGTGGACAATGAGAGATTACATTATTGCAATTTAAAAAAATGCTGCATAACATAATGCTATAACATTGGAAGCTTCTATTGTTGAGAAAACTCTCCTGTCACAATTTTCAAAATAATTAAAACATTAAAAAATTTCCTAAATTTACAGTATATCAAATACTGAAATTAAATCTTTAACAAAAACATGTGCCCATAGAATACCATGACTCGCTCGCACTATTACATGTCTTATTCTAAATAGCTGGTACAACAAATGCTGGAAAATGAAGCAGAAAACTATTTATTTGTTTATGAACACCCGCCAGGAATTGTAAGTAATCATTGACAATACGGAAACAAAAAGATCTGTAAGGGAGAAACTTGTAGATTACACAACTTCAATTACAATTTTTATACGTCACTGCATCTAAGTATCTATAAAAAAATATTTGTGAATTACAGAATTTCTAGAGTTGGGAGATATAAGTTTACAAAAGTCCATACAAAATACATTTGCAAATAAACTCTAAGAAAAATCTAAGAGTATATATGTTAATGCGAAAACAAACGGCACAATGTAAACTATATATCTTCCCGTTTCTGTCGCGCCTTTTCCTGAAAATCAGGTAAACTTGTTCCTTTGTATTATAGAAGCTTGCTTTTTATTTTCCACATAACTTATGGAAACAAAAGTCTAATACACCTATCATCATGACCGTGGTTGCAAAGCTACTTGTCAATTTCAACTTTATTTTAAATAAAGATTACACAATCGTGATTATGTAGTAGCCCCTTTTGTTGTTTATGTTCCAGACCATATATAGATATAAGAAGATGTGGTATGAGTGCAAATGAGACAACTCTCCATCCAAGTCAAAATTTATAAAAGTAAACCATTATAGGTCAAAGTACGGTCTTCGACACGGAGCCTTGGCTCACACCGCACAGCAAGCTATAAAGGGCCCCAAAAATTACTAGTGTAAAACCATTCAAACGGGACAACCAACGGTCTAATCTATATAAAAAAACGAGAAACGAGAAACACTTATGAACCACATCAACAAACGACAACTACTGAACATCAGATTCCTGACCTAGGACAGGTGCAAACAATTGCAGCGGATTTAAACGTTTTAATGGTACCAAACCTTCACCCTTATCTGAAACAATAGTATGCGTATTTGGACCGTACGCGTACGGTCCGGACCGTATGCGTATACTCGTACGGTCTGACCATGCGCGTACGGTCGGACCGTATGAATATACTCATACGGTCTAGTACGAGCTGGATCATACATGTATTTAGATCATATGGGTTAATTTTAGACAAACATTTATCGAAATCTTTTATTGAGTTTTAAAAATTGATATTATTATAATTAGACGAATAAAGTGAATAAGAAAACATTCAAACAATTGAAATTAAATATTTATTTAATTGTCTATCTGAATCATATGTTGGCACTCTCGCCCAGGATGACACTTGCTGCCACAAAGAACGTCAGATGTTACATTTACATGTTTTGTTCATGCATGTTCCTTTGTATTTGCATCTATTGCTAGCATCAGAAAAACTTGCTTGTTTTGCGGTAGCATGCAATGAAATTCTTTCTGTTTTCTAATGTGCAGTTTCAATTTTGCGTGTCTAGCTGACTCACTTTTCCCGTTTATCAAAACATTTTTAATTCTATCAGTCTTCCCACAAGTAAACAGCTGGTTTGGCAGTTTTTGTAGTAAAGTTCCTAAATATTTTAAAAAACTTTTCTTCCCACATCATGTTTACTCCCGATAACTTCAATTTCAGTGAGCACAATTCAATTTCATGTATTAGTGACATGCTAAATGCAGGAGATTAACAGATTAAATTAACGTGACTTTTTTAAATATTTAAAATATTAAGTTTTTTATTTCAATTGCAATTGAAATTTTTATATTTATTCGAGATTTCAGTTATGTTGATCTGTAATATACATTTGTATCTAATAAACTTGACCAACTTCTTAAAATTAGGCAGACCGTACGCGAACAGTCCGACCGTACGCGTACGGTCCAAATACTCATATGGTCTGGAACATTTATACAACATTGTCATTGATTTATGACCATGTCATTCGATGTGTTTGAGCATCGTCGTTCTACAACACTTTGTACAGTGGACCAATCATTGGATACCAATGTTCGCGTTTGTCCCGCCTTCTTAAATTGATTGACAACCGTCTTTTGATCGTCATCTCGATACTTTTTCCATTCAATTTCAAAACAAGCAATGCATTTTTCAAGATATTTAGTTAAACATTTTATTTTTAAAAAAATGCGTTCCTCTTCCAAAATAGGAAAAAGATCGATGCACAAAAAAGAGTGCCACTAAAATATCCTCCAGAACTAGAAATTAAAGAAACAACAGACACGGCGTCCTCTTCCTCATTTTCGACTTATACCTCGAATTTGACATAAGCGGTCATCTCAGTACCAGAATCTCTGACAAACGAAATTATCAATTTCCCCCACCTTAGTAGCAATATACGAACTTCACCTGCATATGGGATATACATTTCCCAACTCATTCGGTATTCAAGAGCTTGCAGCTGCTACTCAGACTTTATAAAACGTCACCAGTGTTTGAGCAGAAAGTTGATGAACTAGGGTCATGTCAAAGAACGTCTCGTCCTTTTTCTAAAAGAGGGACGAAAGATACCAGAGGGACAGTCAAACTCATAGATCGAAAACAAACTGACAACGCCATGGCCAAAAATAAAAAGACAAACAGACAAATAATAGTACAGATGACACAACATAGAAAACTAAAGACTAAGCAACACGAACCCCACCAAAAACTGGGGGTGATCTCAGGTGCTCCGGAAGGGTAAGCAGATCCTGCTCCACATGTGGAACCCGTCGTGTTGCTTATGTTATTACAAATATGGTAAATAGTCTAATTCGGTAGGTCACATTCGTGAAAAGGGAAGGGTATTGTAGTTATGACATAAGGAACATATCCGATATCATCTGTGAAACGGTTATTCCATAACGGTCAACCAACTCGTGATGGCGTCCGTAAAATTTACAAAGGGATGATTTCAACTTCACCATTTGGAACTCTTGGTTTAATAGCTTCCTTGTGAGCAGCAATCCTCTATCAAGGAAATCATGATAGGAAATACAAGCCCTGGAATATCGTATCAATTGGGAGATATATAC